CTCAGAAAGTAAAGGAAGTACCTAAGCAAACATTAGTTGTGGGAGATTCCCAGATAAGGTATTTGGATAGAACGTTTTGTGCTAGAGATAGGGGGAACAGGTTAAGGGTTTGCTATCCCGGAGCTGGCATTGGTGATATTATAAACAACATGAATGATATTATGGCTGGTAATGGGAACAATCCCATTATTTGCATTAGCGTGGGAGGAAATGATGTTGGTCGAGTCAGGAGTGAGGAACTGATTCAGAGGTATAAAACAGCCATAGAGTTAGTTAGGAGCAAGGGAGGAATCCCGATCATATGTGGCATTCTTCCAAGAAAGGGAGTGGGAAATGAATGGATATCGAGGGCACTTGGTGTCAATTGCCGGCTGGAAAGATATTGCAAATCAAATGCAATATCTTTCATAGACAACTGGGAACACTTCTATGGAAGAAATGAAATGTATGCTCGTGATGGGGTGCATCTATCGAGAGCTGGGGTTGTTGCTGTTGCGAACTCGCTAGAAGAAGTGGTTAGAGGTGTTTGTTTGGGTTTAAACTGTTAGTAGATAGAGGTATGGGAATTGATTTGGAGGAAGGAGGTAATAAAAGTATGTGTTTGTGGGAGAAAGGAATTGGCAAAACGATCAGGGAAAGAGAAGGTCCGCAAAATAACAATTCACTTAGGGTATATTACACTAACAGTAGAAGTCTAAGAAATAAAATTAACGAATTAAATGCTCTTGTCTGCACAGAAAAAATAGATATTATTGCACTTACCGAAACGTGGATGAATGTAGAAAATAGAGAACTATTAGCTGAATATCAAATATATGGATTTAAACTATTTCACACAGATAGATATATTAGACGAGGAGGTGGAGTAGCCATATATGTTAGGGACAATTTGAAATGTAGTCTCAAAGAGGGAATCAAAACAGAGCCACACTCAGAAACTATTTGGATTGAATTAAACGAAAAAGCTAATAATATTATAATAGGAGTAATATATAGGCCACCAAATTTAGACAGAATGGAAGCAAAGCATCTATGGGATGAAATATCTAGAGCATCTAGATCTAACAGTATTTATGTCATGGGTGACTTTAATTTTAGCGGAATAAACTGGTTGAACAAAACAGGGAATAGTGAAGCAGAAGATTTTCTAGAATTAATTGACGATTGCTTTCTTACGCAACACATTAAGGAACCAACACGGGAAAATAATATTTTAGATTTAGTGTTAACTAACAGGGAAACGCAAATTAATGACATCGAAATAGGGAGTGAGCTAGGGAGCAGTGATCACAAAGAAATCAGATTTAGCATAGAATGGAATAGACCAGTAGGAGAAAATTCTGTTAAAGTGCCAGATTTTCGAAAAGCTGATTTTAATAGCCTAAGAAATTTTTTGGGTCAAATTGATTGGAAAGGCTTGGGTATGGGGTGTGGGCCGGTCTTGGAGCGAGACATGAACCCAGCGATAGGTGACTTAAATGGGGATTTCGATGTGGATTCAATATATAACTTATTTAAGAATATTCTAAACAAAGCACAGGAACGTAGTATACCATACAAATTGAATAGATCGTATACTAATGACCCAAAGTGGATAACAAAGAATTTGAAGAACCTTATAGGTAAAAAGAGAGCTTGGTACAAAAGGATTAAAAATGGGGAGGTCACTTTAGAACAGGAATTCGTACAACTGGTTAGAAATGTTAAAAAAGAGATAAGGAAAGCAAAAAGAAACTATGAAGTTCGCATAGCAGGGCAAGCAAAGACAAATCCTAAAGGGTTTTTTCAGTTATATCGTACTAAGACTAGGGAAAGGATAGGTCCATTAAAAACTGAGACAGGTCAAATAACAGATAGTGATGAAGAGATGAGTAGTATTTTTAATAAATATTTTGTATCTGTATTTACTAAAGAGGAACTTAACAATATGCCTTCAGCCGAACAAGTCTATGTGGGTGGGGACGAGGACAGGTTGACGAGTTTAGCAGTTACCAGGGAGGATGTTCTTAAACAAATAGTAAAACTCAAACCAAACAAATCCCCAGGGCCGGATGAAGTGTTTGCTAGGGTGCTTAAAGAATGCAAAGAGGAGCTTTGTGACCCACTGTCAACCATATTTAATAAATCAATAGAGTCAGGCAGAGTGCCAGAGTTTTGGAAAGTTGCTAATGTGATACCAGTTTTTAAGAAAGGAGATAGATCACTTGCGTCTAACTATCGACCAATTAGCCTAACGTCTATTGTGGGAAAGTTACTCGAATCTATAATAGCAAATAAAATTCGTCTTCATCTTGAAAAACATAAATTAATAATTGAGTCGCAACATGGTTTTATAAATGGCCGTTCATGTTTAACAAATTTGTTATCTTTTTATTCTAGCATTGTTGAGGCAGTTGATAGTGGTAAGGATTGCGATGTTGTATACCTTGACTTTAGCAAAGCTTTTGATACAGTGCCACATGAAAGACTGAGTAAAAAAATAGAGTCTCATGGTATTGGGGGTGCTATATTAAGCTGGATTAGGGCATGGCTATACCAAAGGAAACAGAGAGTTAGTATAAATGGAATCAAGTCAGAGTGGGAAAATGTTGTAAGTGGAGTGCCTCAAGGCTCTGTCCTGGGACCTCTGTTGTTTATAATATATATAAATGATTTAGATTCAGGTTTGAGTAGCAACATTTGCAAATTTGCCGATGATACGAAAATCGGTAGGGAAATTAATTCGGAGGAGGACTCACTATCACTTCAAGTTGATCTAGATAGGGTTTTGAAATGGTCAAAGGATTGGCAGATGCAGTTTAATGCTGATAAATGTAAAGTTCTGAGGTTAGGTAATGATGATAGAGTTACAAGATACGAGCTAGATGGTGTTGTGATTGCGAAGTCGGATTGCGAAAGGGATCTGGGAGTTATGATTAGTAAGAATTTAAAACAAAAGGATCAATGCATAAATGTTCGTAATAAGGCAAATCGGACACTTGGATTTATTAATCGCAGCGTTAGTAACAAGACACCTGGTGTGGTTCTCAAGCTATATCTTGCTCTAGTTAGGCCCCATTTAGATTATGCAGTTCAGTTTTGGTCGCCATATTATAGAATGGATATAAATTCACTTGAACGTGTCCAGCGTAGGATGACTAAGTTAATTCCCCAAATTAGAAATCTTTCATATGAAGAAAGATTAACAAAGCTTAAGTTGCATTCACTGGAAAGGCGAAGAGTTAGGGGTGACATGATAGAGGTTTACAAGTGGATGAATGGACATAACCGGGGGGATATTAATAGGGTATTAAAAGTATCAACACAGGACAGAACACGAAACAATGGATATAAATTGGATAAGTTTAGATTTAGGAAAGACTTGGGTAAATACTGGTTCAGTAACAGGGTTGTTGATTTGTGGAACCAATTGCCGCGTAACATTGTGGAGGTGGGGTCCCTCGATCGTTTCAAGCACGGGTTGGACAAGTATATGAGTGGGATTGGGTGGTTATAGAATAGGAGCTGCCTCGTATGGGCCAATAGGCCTTCTGCAGTTACCTTTGTTCTTATGTTCTTATGTTCCTCTGGCACAGCTTTAAGCATAATATTTATCGGCATTGCCGCCCCACCACAATCACTTCCGTCACCGCTGCCTCACCACCACCACAATTACTAGTACCACCGCCACCACCTACCTCCACGCAAAACAATCACCACCATTGTTACCGTCATCACAATCACGACTACCATCTCCGCCTTGCCTACTAGGAACAACTATCACCATTGCCATCACCGCCACTACAATTACCACAATTGTATTTTTTTACTGCTGCAACTACCATCCTTCAACAAGTCATCACCGTAGTTGTCACCCATTGCAGTCAGCAACAACAACCACAATAATATTCATCACTGTTGTCTCTAACGTCACGTCACTGTATTAGAGAAGAAACAGGGCACACATGATCACCACATAGCCCGTGCTACTTTGGAACTTTTGTTTTAAGTAGCTGAATCTAAAACAACAACATTCTGCAGTTGTTGTTGTTATAGATTCAGCTACTCTGAACAAGTTCCAAGTAGCACGGGCTATGGTGAGCCCGTAGTGGACTTGCCTGGCACAGGAGCCGTGCTGTCTGGGGTGGCCAACATTCTGCAGCCTATACACAGTTTATTAAAGGTTCAACCTTCCCTTCCACCTCAAGTACAACCACAATCAAGTACTTCTGCCCTTGTCAATCCTCGCCTGCCCCTGTCAATCCTCGCCTGCCCCTGTCAATCCTCGCCTGCCCCTGTCAATCCTCGCCTGCCCCTGTCAATCCTCGCCTGCCCTTGTCAATCCTCGCCTGCCCCTGTCAATCCTCGCCTGCCCCTGTCAATCCTCGCCTGCCCCTGTCAATCCTCGCCTGTCCCTGTCAATCCTCGCCTGCCCCTGTCAATCCTCGCCTGCCCTTGTCAATCCTCGCCTGCCCTTGTCAATCCTCGCCTGCCCCTGTCAATCCTCGCCTGCCCTTGTCAATCCTGGCCTGCCTCTCTGTCCATCCTTCACCTGCCCCTGTCCACCCTCGCCTGCCCATGATCAGGGGTAGAACAAGTTAACAGGACTGTCATGTTCTTGACCATCACGACATTGTACCACGAGGAAACTCCACCTGGATGACGCTCAAGTTGGAGAGTTGCGTCGGAAAAGGGACGCACGTTGAGTGAACGGCGAGTCGTCGGCTGCTGACCCTAGATGAGTGGAGTTGAGGATTATTAAACCCGCAGAGTTTGGATACTGATTAAACCGGATTTAACTTTAATTATTATGGTTCCATGGGCTATTACTACCCCTTCCCCACCCCCACCCCCCCTCCTCCACCTGCTCCTGACCCGGTCTCTGATTAGGCCTAGCGCGTTGATGCGAGTCTAGTGAAGTTGGATGTAATAATGCTGAGTAAGGCTTATTGCCATGATAGGAGCGGCCTCGTGTGGGCCAATAGGCCTTCTGCAGTTAGCTTATGTTCTTATGTTCTTAGGTGGAGGATGTTGACGACTGCGAGGAAGAGGGAAGTGATGTGTTTGGGGCAGGAGGCAGGGCAACATCACCTCTCACGCCGCCCTACGACAGTCTTCTGTCATCACTAAGCTGGGCAGACCAAGTAAGTCGCTCACCAATTTCTTCAGTGTACACTTTTTTTTAGCTTATTGCTTAATTTTTTTATTTTAATATTTGTTTTCACCTTTTGGATTTATTCTTTTCTAGGGGGGGGGGGGTTTCGCGGTTACTCTGCAATAGTTCGAGTAAGTTTATTTAATAAAATGAAGTACCCTGTACATCTCAAAAGGGAAGTGAAGAAGCTTAGGCTATTTCTACCTACGTCTCTATAAGGTCCCTCAAGGGGCTTACAAACCCTTACCGTACACAATTATTAATTACATTCTACATTGAACATTCCAATGGGAATCACATGGCATACAGTGAGATCTCTTACTGATTACGCTGCCCCTGTCTTGTCTGGTTTCGGTTAAGGCAGAATAAATAAGTAGAATGTACAAAATGAAACCATGCGAATAATCCCAAGATTATTCTCATAGCCCAAGAAATACTAATACCGAGATGATGATGATGTGATTGAACTTATAGAGTATTGGGGATAGAATTTCAGAGATAAATGAAGCTTCGACGATTAGACTTATGAGAGGCGAGGGAGTTAATGAATTAATCCTCTCATTTTAAAAGGTGGAAAGAAATGAATAATGCATGTGAACGCATAATAGGAAATTTTCTTCTGTTTTCTATGGAGAGGGTTAGAGATCTGTTAAACATATAGTTCAGTGGGGGAGTTGGTGGGTGGGAGTAAAAGGTAGTGGGTGGGAGTGGGAGGTGGTGGGTGGGAGAGGTTGTGGGTGGGTGGGGGGGGGAGAAAGATGTTGTGGGAAGGTGAGCAAGAGATTGTGAGGGGGGGGGGCAATAGGTTGTGGAGGGTGGGGGGGGAGAGAAAGAGGTTGTGAGAGAAGGAGAGCGAGAGATTGTTGGGGGGGGGAGAGAAAGAGGTTTTGGGTGAGGGGGAGAAAGATGTTGGGGGGGGGGGGGTGAGTGAGAGGTTGTGGGAGGGGGTGAGTGAGAGGTTGTGGGTGAGGGGGAGAAAGATGTTGGGGGGGGGGGGGGGTGAGTGAGAGGTTGTGGGGGGGGGAGAGCGAGAGGTTGTGGGGGGGGGTAGCGAGAGGTGTAAGAGAGGGAGTTAGTGGGTGAGGAGGTTAGTGGGAGTGAAAAGTGGCTGGTTTGTGTCTCGGAGAGACTGTAGGATCCGTGTTAGATCAGTTGAATTTCCAGTTGCAATTCTTTTACCATGTCGTGGCACAGTCGATTAAGGCGCGTCTGGGATCTTCTCAGACGTAGGTTCGAACCCTTATCACGGCCCTTGTGGATTTGTTCATTTGATGCCTCACGCTATTGTGATTTGTGTGTGTAGTGTAGTGGTGGTGATGGGAGTTTGGGGTGGGAGTCGAACATGGCTGTTTTAGCGGAATGACCAGGTGAGCATTTGTGAATGCTCACGTAAATATTATGTTACAATAGTGCAAACACTTTCATTTATTGCACATTAGATATAAACTGCTTTATGGCAAAAATGTGTTTAATAAACATGTATTGTTAGGTTAAACTGTATACTGTGCAGTTCTTTAGAAGGGCCTGGTTCAAAAAAAGCCCAGTGTATTGAGGTTTCACTGTACAGTGCCTAGTAAATAGCATATTAAATTCTATAATGAATTTTTTGTTTGGAATTGTATTGGAAAAAAAAAATTAATTTTATTACCCATTATAGGTAGATGCAATGGAGTCGCTGGACGAGCTACGTCACCCTGGCCGTGTTCTACACATCCACGAGAAGTTATCATCCCCATCCAGAAAGCGGTCATTATCAGAAAAGATGCGACGACATGAAGAAAAGTTGGCAAAAGCACAGGAACTCCGGGAGAATTTTATACAGGCAAAAACAGATAAATTGAAAGATTTATTTAAGAAGGTATATTTTCAAATTTTTTCAGAATTATTGTCTCTATAATGCCAGTGATAACTAATTAGTAGTAATAGACAAAAATTAACTATTCATAAAAAAATTCACATTATTAATGTAAATTTTTAGTCTGGAGCTCTTATTATGCAGTCATAAGTATGGAGCCTACATTATGCAGTTGTGTGTATGAGATCCATAGTACAATGTCACGCGTGTAGGGCTCGTAGGACACAGCATTTTCAGCAGGATTGAATATATATTTAGTGATTGAATATCTTGTAAAAATTTCTTTGCACTTGAATTGAAATATTTTTTATATTAAAAATCTAATAACATAAAACATAGGGATCAAATATTTATTTTGAATTGGATCATTTAAGCTTCAAATATAATTAACATTGTATGCATACTCATATTGTAAGTCATAATTCAGGTATATTATGAAAGTAGTGTAGAAGTCTGACTTTCAAGGAGACAAATGAAATAAAATATCATAATGTTATTTACATAATGGAATCATTTTTGGTTCACTGGAGACGCATTGCATTAAGACTAAATATTGGCGCGTAATTTCCGTAAACTGTACTTCTCTATTTTAGGATTATTTAACGGAAAAATGTATAGTTTAAAATAACCTGAATTACCTAAGGACAAGTAGAAATATTGGCAGAAATGTAGCTCACAATATTTTGCTTGAACTGTTGCTCTATTAATACAATAGGAGCTTTAATGAATAGTTGTTTCTGCTTTAATTCAGAGTTCAGTACATTATGCTACTTTGTGAATGGAGTTTGAATTTAGGTGGATTTTTTCAACTGATGTAGTTAACTGTAGGTACTCTTTAAATTATTATATAGTAGGTGTGTGTGTAATACATATTGAATTGTAGTTTTGTATCCCTCGTAGTCAATCAAATAGTCAATGCCAGTCAAACCAGATGGTCAATATTAGTTGACTAAAATCAGTTCGTTTTAGGCAGTAAATACCAATCGGACAAATTCAATCGAGCAGACAGATGCAGTTAAATATGCAGACAGGCAACATCAGTCAGGCATACTGACAATCAGACCAGCACACATCATGGTTACAATCAGACTAGTGTGCAGAACTGGGGGTGTCAGTTCTTGCATGTCTAGAAGGTTATTTACCTCCTATCTGCTGGTGGAGAGGTTGAGGCGGTACATATCTGTAAAGATAGTACTGTACAGTATAATTTACAGTAAAATCCAAAGCTAAAGTAAATTTAACATTTAATACACATTTAAAAGAGTGCACTGATTGAGAAAGCTGTCACTGTTATGGAAAGGAAGGAAATGTTTGTCATGTAACTGTTTTATCACCACCAATATTCCTTTTCCAAACATTTTTGTTTTTCTCCACAACTCAGATTGAAGAGGTACGACAGGACAAGGAATGTCTATTAGACAAGAAGAGAGAGTTATTTCACCGCAAGATGAAACGAGCTGAAGAAAAACGCAAGCAATACCTCCAGGAAATAGTAAACAAAGCCCACGATGAAGAAAACAAAGCCAAAGAAATAGCCTTTATCAATGGCTTAGAAGCACAGAATAAACTTCATGATATTATGCAACAGCACCAAGTAAGTATTATCCTTGCATGTATAAATAGTTTTTTTTTTTTTTTTTGCAAATAATGCATATTTTTTCAGTAAAGATTTGCTTAGGTGGCTAGTATTACCTTGACAATCTATGGTTTTCTATGGTTATGTCTTTATATAACTATAAAATGTTAACAAACATATTGAACTTTTTATTGTTGTATCCTAACGCTTCTTATTACTGCAGTGTTCACAACAATATAGTAGCAAAACCATTTTGTAAACTTGAATTAGTCATCCATGGTATATAAACACCTTTACTTTATATATTTCTGAAGTTGTGTTCATTCTTAAGAGCCACGAGTCTCGTTTGGCGGACATGGCTGAGGAACGTACTCGAAGACAAGAAGAAAAAGCAGCTAAAGAGGTTGCAGCTCAAGAGAGACGCAAAGCACTTGAGGCAGAAAGGCAGGTGAGAATATTAATTCATTCTTCTTTAACACCAAACATATTTAAAAAAAAAAAATACTGTAAATACATTACAGTATTATTGTTCCCCATTTCCCACTTTCATGAGGAGTCATTGACCCAGAGATAAAAAAATATAAGCTTTATAATAATTCTTAAACACTGTTTTGTGCATAAGGAATGCACAAATGTTGTGCACAAATATTTCATATGTTGAAGGCATAAATTTTTTGTTTAAATTCAGTAACTTGTCCAGTAGTAAGCTTTCAACACTGCAGTGTCGGTAATTGATAGGACTACTAAAGAAGTACTGTAGTGTAATGAGTTGGTGATATGGGCAAAGATTTAAGTTAATATAATTATAGTATTTTTCTCAGTGATTTAAATATACTAATACACACACTTAGAGAAACACGTCTGAGGTTTGTAGTGATACCAAACAAATGTCTTTGCAATAATGTTTTAGTTATTTTAAAATTCATTTAGAAATGGTTAATTATATTTCAAATCGCATTAATTAATAAAAATCAAGATGGCTTCCTAAAAAGACCTTTTGCTGCTTGCATATTCCTAATAAAACATCTGAACTCCCGAGTTTGCCATATATTTGCTGGATCGAAGAATACGTTTGGAAGAGTGACACAAACTTGATGAAAAGTAAGTATACCATGAGAATACTTGGACAACATGTCCTAAAATACGAAGCCCAGAATTACAATTCAGATACTTTATTCATAATTTGTTGACTAAGCATTGCATTTATGACCATTGTTCCCACAGTCAATGGCAATCAGTAATAACTTTGCCTTTCTTTTAGCTGCCAGACTTGGCTGCAAGATTAAAAGTGCTCTCAAATGATTAAGAGTACTTTTCTGATAACTTTTTCTCAATTTTCTGGTAATTGTGGAAAATTGTGTAGGTTATATTAAATGTGTAGAAAGTAACATTTGTTATAAATAGAATTTACTGTTTTATTTCAGGCTAGAATGGCAGAACTATGTGAAAAGAGGCGTCGGCGCTGTGAACGTATTGATCGGCAGCAAGCAGAACGGCGGGAAGAACTTTTGGAACAGGCTCGAGAGAAAGCAAGAGATCGTGAGGAGAGATTGTCGGCACTACAGCAGGTTTGTGTGCACTAGTCTCTTCATAGCGGGAAAACAGATAAATGTTGGTTCACTATATAAGTATTTTTACTTGATATTGACTAGTGTCATGTGCTCTATGCCTCTTGTTCATTGTTTTCTCATTTTTCCTGCAGTAAACTTTATATATATACTCTGCACTAAAATTTTTCATTATAATATATTTATTGTCTTAAATATTACTCTATAGAGATTCCTGTATCCATAAGTTCTTTTTTTGTTACCATGTTCACTGTCTGACTCTGACCTGTTACATGTTCCTTATCATTTTATTTACTACTTTTTTACACATATTCTGTGCTTGTCCGTTTTCTTTATTCATTAGCTCATGTACTATCTGGTTGCCTTGTTTTTTCTATCACAAGTCATCCCTGATCCTTATTAATAATAATATAATAATAATTTAAATAAAATTACATATAGTACATAGCATCATTGTTTCTGTTCACTATCTCACTGTTAATTGTTTTTTCCTCCCATTTTCTTTCTTTGGTACTTCTTTGTTGTTTAAATTCTGTACCTACAATTCCCATGTCTCTGATTTTACTGTTTGCTATGGTTTATAGCTTCCTTTTTGTCAAAGGTTGTATAACACTGCTGGATTTTTCTGATTCCTTTATGTGAGATTAGTACTATACTATATAAGAAGTTTTTTATTTTATCTTTTTTTTTTTTTTTAGGCTCAACAAGCTAAAGAGTCTGAATTGGTCAAGAAGATTCAACAGAAGCAAGAAGAATCTGCTCGTCGTCATGAAGAAAACATTGAGCAAATTAGGCAGCGAGCTCTTGAATCTTCAATTATGAAATATTCAAGAGGATGTGATGATGCCCCAAGACTTATCAGGTTTGCAGTGTGTTAAATTTGGGTTGCACCTAAAATTAGTGTTAGATTTGGTCTGGATATAAATTTATGTATATTAATATCTTAAGTATATTTTGGTAGCAGTCTTTCCTGTAGACATGTATTATTAAATATGACCGAAAAAGTAAGAATTATTAATCAGATTATTAATTAATAAGAATTAAGAATTATTATTATTTGTTAGAATTATTAATCTTACTTTTTCGGTCATATTTAATAATATAATATCTTAAGGTATAGGTAGCATGCTGTCTTTACAAAATGAAGACCTAAATTTTGTTCATTACCAATACTGTACATTTTTAAAGGAGATAATAAATCTAATGTCTCATGTGTACTTTGTACACGAACTTCCTATATTCCTTCATATTTCTTGTAAAATATCTTTAAACAAATCTATTTTACTTTTCAAATGTAGAAGGCATCTGTTGCACCTAGGAAGGTGCATTGGAAAACAATAAAATTAAAAGACCAAGACCAAGTCACAGTAAAATATAAATAAAGTTGCATTTTCATAAATAAAGCTAGGGTAAAAAATGCCAATGTAATGTATAAGATAGTACTGTAATTTTGGGAGGCTATTCAATTTGGAAACAAGATAGGAATTCGTATTTTGTACCGGTATAAATCTGAAATCAAATTAGATACAGATAAAACCAGATTGTTGGTATTGCAGAGATTTATCTAAAATTTATCGATAGGCTTACATGGGCCAGAACAGAAGTTTGGACAATCAAATTTATGACTCTCTTTGTGAAAGTACACCTGTATTGATGTATAAGTATACAGTAAGCAGGACATGAGAGGAAGACCAGGGAGTCTCATATTCACCTGAATAGAGGACAAAATGTTTGATCGAAGTACCTACCACCATTAGGTATTATGATCATGTCCTGTTCTCGAGTGGATTTGATTAAGATGCATTGTTGTTAGGAGAGGAGGTAAATGAAATTTATACAAATTTTGTGTTGTACAGTGGTGCCTCGATTAACGAGTTTAATTCGTTCCGGCACCGAGCTCGTCATATGGAAAACTTGTCTTGTGAAGCAACAACAAAACTGTCGTTGGAGGTGTCCGAGAACCAGCAGGAATGCTCGTTAATCGAGAGGAAGCTCATCAGTCGAGACATATTTTCTGCTAGTGGCTTGCTCGTAACCAGAGCCGCTCGTCACTCGAGGTTCCACTGTATAATGAAGGCACCAATATTTAAGAATGTTCATGTGATGCTCTCTCATGCCTCAAACCTGAATGGAAGCCCAGTACTATCATTGATCTTCTGGCAAGGGAATCTGAGTAATGGAAGACAGTGAAGCTTGTATGCATCCATTACTCTACCAGACTTGTGGTAAAGTAGATAGATATTCCATCGATCCTTTAAATAAGCTGAGATTGCACAAATGTATCGTAATATGTGAGAGGATTGAATGGGGTCCCAAGCTACATTCAGCAGTATCCAAATACTGTACATAGCATATAATAAATATATAATATATATAATATACATATATATATACCAGTAAGCATACTTGGCAAGGAATTATGTATTAGTGAAAGAGTTGAGCAAGAAGAAAACTATTTAAAAAATAAAAATAAAATATTTATTCCAGCCTGTAAATCACCTCCAGTACTGTATGTATAAATATAGTGTAAATGTATATCTTTTACAAAGCATTATGTAAAATAACATATTATTTAAAGTAAAAATTAGGCTTGAGGTGTGAGTGTTATGATTCAAAGGTGTCATAATTGTAAATTTTTGGTGTTTCTGCACGAAATGACATTTGATTTTGCCACTAACTGGTGGCTGCATTTACCAGGTTCATGGACTTGTTTGGAAAATCAGAGGACCTGAGTAATCATTACACGACTTGGAAACATTCTAGGCACATGGTCGGAGATCAGATATCGAGCAAATGCCTTAATTCCACCATCCGACAGTTGTTGCATTTCGTAGCCAAGTGGTTAAACTTAAAATTTTAGTTATCGGTAAAGATTTTGTAAGAAAATTGTTATGCTTATTTTGCATTTTAACCAAGAAGGTGTTATTTTTTCTTTCAGATATGAGACCAAGAAGCTGTGTACACTTTGCAATTCACTGATCACCAGTGAAGTATACTTGCTGAGTCATCTTCGTGGGCGCCGGCACCAAGAGGCGTTAAAGGCACTCCATCAGGCTGATGTTTTGTCCACTGAAGATAGTGAAACTTATAATCTAAAGCACATTGTTGATGCTCCTGCTAATATTGATGATCCTCAGGTACATGGTGTGATTATCATAAACTACAATAAATTCTCTACAAAAATTTTTTTTTTTGTACAGTGAGCTCGAATTATCATAGTGGAAAATTACTTTTAACAATACAGTGGCGCCTCGATTAACGAATTTACTTTGTCTTGCGAAACAACCACAACACTGTCGTCTGAGGGCGTCCGAAAATCAGCAGGAACACTAGATAGCACCATGTATTGTAGTTTGCTTGTTAATCGAGCGAAAGCTCGTCAATTGAGACAAATTTTCTGCAAGTGGCTCGCTCGTTACTCGAAATGCTCGTAACTGGAGTCACTCGTCACTCGAGGTTCCACTGTATATTATTACTTATTCCCATTTCTCTGCTTTATTCCCTGTCAGGAACCGCATGATAATATTTCTATCATATTCACTTATATATGTCATTTTGTCATTTGTTCTGCAATTTCTATTAAAATACAGAATGGAATTATTTTTATTTCCACTTTAGAAAGGAATATATATACTCTTGAAGATCAGTATTTGTTACATATTAGTGGGATCATATAGTTGGATAATATATATTGTTCATAATTTGTTCCTCGCATCTATCTTTCAAACTTTTGCACATTTTAAAATAATAAATTTATTTTTCATTGTCATTTATTTGTTTAGGGATAAGAACTGGTTGAACACAACTTCAATCAGTTACCTAAGTGTAGTTACAGGATGGTATGGGGCTCACCACCATACAAATATTGGCTCGGTTTAAACTTTGCGCACAGAATGATAAGTGTGAAAACTGTTATATACTGTATACAGAAATGTGATTGTCTAAGTGGTGCATCACTTGATAATCTCAGAGTTGTCGGCATCCTCATTAGGTTAATTGTGCTAGACTCGATAGTATTAGTAGGAGAGTTTAAAGGCCGTTACAATATTATAAATTAATTTACACAGTACCATATAGGAGAGTGCAGGAAATCTGTTTTATTGGGTTAAAAGTGAACAAAAAAATCATTTGGAGGATTGGAATGTAACCCTGTTGATCTCAATATCCCTTCACTGATAAGTATAGCTTCTGGAGGGGCCAAATGGTGGCCACCCCCTGAAGCTTAATATTAGGCTTAATATTGCATATATTAACCCTAGAATTGCATATTTAGGCATTAGACAGAAGTCCTCATTGTGTTCATTCCATCCATAATAGCAATAAGTTTTTTGGATTTTATATGATGCACATGTGACATTGACGGTGGACTTCAGAAAGTTTTGTTTCTATGGCTATTAGATTATATGTAACTATGCTCTGCAGAAACATTTTCAGTATACAGTATTAATAACATTTTAAACCTTTATATAAATAAATTCCTAAGTTTCATTTTTGGTCTCAAAAGCTACAGCTGGTAGCAATACTGCATAACATGGATGATTTAAGAAACTTATTGAAATGTTAAAAGCATTATAATATTTCTCCATATATTTGGTATTAGGTTTATTACAATTGTAACAAGTTATATTGAAACCTGCTATTCTGTATTTCAGGTCACAAGAGATAAAGAGCGACATAAAGCTCTAAGAAGAAGATGTAGGAAGATAAGGACGCGGATGATCACGCGTGGAAAAGAATACAATAGTGCCTTTAAACCAACCTCTCTTAGAGATTCTCCCAACAAAGTCCGCATCATTAAGGCTCTACAACAAATAGCAAAACTGGTTGCTAACCAGGGATCTGGCCCTTGGCCCAGTGCTGACCTGACAGCTTTAGATAGGCCTTTACTGGAATTGATAAGGATCATGGACAAGAGAGAGGCTGCAGATCAGATGTTATTCAGTGCACAAGATGGCTTCTCAAAGATTGATTCAGTTTTGAAAGTTATTTTAGAATCTAATGAGCAGAGACCATGTGTGTTACCAGCAAAGTCTCTGGGATACAGTGGTCGTGTACTTCTCGGGGTGTGCAGGGCAAACACAAATAACTGCCGACATACTCTCTACTCAAATTTAGTTGGCAGTTTGATTGACTATTTGATGCAACGTCTCAATGAACTTGTAATTGAAACAACAAGGGTGGGCAGCAACAGCAGTATAAACACAATTGTTAATCTCCCTGCTGATACAGCTTCAGCAGCTATATTTGAGGTACGGTATTTGTATAAGATGACTGGTAAATTAAGTTCCCAGTTTAAGACCAGTTTAATAAATGAAAGATAACGGGCTTGACACTAATATATATTAATTAAACGACAAATTTCTTATAAAAGTTAATTGTATACCTGGAGAGGGTTTTGGAAGTTCTACTACTTCCTGAGCCCGGTCTGAGGCCAGGCTCGATTTGTGATCCCTTAGTCCACAGGCTGTTGCTTGGAGCGGCCTGCAGGCCCACATATCCACTTGGCACTTCTAGCAAGAACTTGTCCAAGTTCCTCTTGAAGACATCCACCTTCATTCGGGCCATTGTATAATTATCTTAAACATTTTAATACATTTTGAGACAGATGGACGAGAGAAAGTGTAGAGTACAGTATAGTATAGCAGCGTGTGAGGCAGCAAGGTGTTCAAGGTGTATATACACATGTGGGTTTCTGATAATTGCCAGACACATTTCGGTTTAATGTGTGAGCAGCGCTGCAATATATCTTGGATTTGAAGAGGGATTTAACTGTTAAAGGATGATGAGAGAGCATGTAAATGAGATAAAATGGAAGGGAGGATATAAAAAATATCAAACCAGATATAAAAAATAAAACAGAGGGGTAGTATAGGGTGATGGAGTATACAAATGTAGGAGACATCTGTAGAGAATTCTGCTGGGAATGGAATGCTTGCAGAAGACTTTACTGCTATCACTTTGCTGTTTTTCTCTGGAAATTATTTATTCAAGTTCTGGTAGTTGTAGTTATGCACTTATCTCATTAAAAGCTAAATATTATTTCCTATATTTAGTATTTTTTCTGCAGGTTTTAGCAGAGGTTGTTCATGTGTTGTGTGATGGAGATATACAGCCTGCCATTTCTTCACAAGACCAAGCAATAAAAGACCAGGCAGATTCCACTTGGCAGCGTCTTCAGGTTGGTGGGAAGAAGTGATAGTGTTTAAAGCAATCCTGTCTATACTATAGCTTGTTTTATCAGTAAGATAATCCATTGTGATATTGCTATCCCTCTCCTCCAGACAGACAATAGAAGGTGAATGGTAACTAACCAAAAATATGTAACTACACAAAAACAAAACTAGCCACTAAATGTCTGGAAAAGCACTACCTGGTTGGTAAGCCACATAGTCTACACCTCCACACAAGGTGAAGTAAAAACCAAGTGTACATGATGCACAACAAATACATATCCAGGGGGTTAAGTCCTGACATTGAATGAAGGGTTATAAACTCGACTGAGCAAATCGTTGCTATGCACAACCTGTCCTGAACTGGGAGAACAGCTTGGAAAATTGTATAAAGACGGGTACTCCTAAAACACTCGCATGAAGCGATATGTGTACTGTATAAGTCCATTGTGCTCAAGAAGCAGGGTTTCACAGACTGGAACAGGTCATTTAACAATGTTGTTGTTGCATACTAAGTTGCCAGATGGCTCAAGGCGAGGAAAACACTGTTGCATGTATGATGCTGCTGCCACTTAGTGGGAGTAGACAGCCCTGCAGCGAACTGGTGATTAGTGAGTGGACTTCATTAGTGGTTACTTGTAATACTCTGGAGAGTTTGGAAAGGCTTTGGATTGATGATGATTTTTATTTTTGAAGTCTTTCCCAGATTTCCCCCAACACTAGATAGACTCTGCAGAGGTCATTTGTAAGGTTGCAGGTGGCTCTGATAGCAGAATGTTACCCAACTTGATTGCTAGTGATCCTAACCAATAGCAACAGTAGATTTTACTTTAATGAGAGACCAAGTGAAATTGCTTAGAAATTGTTGACCAGGCTACACACCAGAAGGTGAAGGGACGACGACGTTTTGGTCCATCCTGGACCATTCTCAATCGACTTGAGAATGGTCCAGGACGGACTGAAACGTCGTCGTCCCTTCACCTTTTGGTGTGTGGTCTGGTCAACATACTTTAGCCACGTTATTGCGACTCATCGCCTGCTTAGAAATTGTGAAACGAGTGTCTCTAAGTTAGACTACTTATAGTTAAAATGTACTGCAATTTTGCTCAAGAGAGGGAGTAGGAAAACCTAACATTTACTTTTGTATTTGATATGTGTGTTTCAAATTTAATTTGAAACTTGAAAATTTGAAGTGTGGTTTCAAATTTAATAACCAGCAAATTATATTTATTCCAGGATATTGTTAGTTACTGTGTGAGTGTTGGCCTGGCAGATAAAGTATCGTGGTACTTTAGCCATGTGCAGGGACCACTGGATAATGATGCTGGTGTTGTTGAGGTCATTCTAGCAGCTATGAGGCTCGTCTCTGCCCTGGCCAAAACACTTGCCATAAGGTTGGTATTATGTTTGCATTACATGGATGACCTTGTGGTGATTGCTATGACAGCATGTGCTCAGAAATAGTCATAAGTGTTGTTAGATGCATTTGTAGTTTACACCATCTTATAATTGAATTAGGTGGTAATTATTTATATAAATGATATAGTGAAGAAACAATGTGAGCCCGCCAAACACACACCAAAACTACAACGTTGGTACAACGTTCGAACAAATTTTAACACCTCCTAACCAGTTATAACAACCAATATAGCAAGTTGTAACAACGTTCTAATACGTCATGAACACATTAAGCCAAGATGTAACAACTTTATTACAAGTTGTAACAAGGGGAAAATAGAGACAGTTTCGGTTTGTGTTTCCAGGGAGGGGGGTTGTTACTGCTGTACTTGCAGTGTGTTCCCAGGTTGAATAGAGCACCAAGTTCTGACAAACCATGTAGTGAACACCAAGTGGCTACTAGGTTTCATAAAGCTGACTCACAGCTATGTATTTCTGTACCGTTTGTTTTATATCCATGTTTAGCTAACAACTTCATTGCTGCCGAGGGTTAGAATACCACACTATTATATGCTACTGTGTAATAACTTTATTATTTGTGCCAATAAATTATTTTTGGTTTACTCAACTACCCATTTAACTTGCTTGTGCGAACTCAGTTTTTCAGTCTTTGAAGTGTTTGCAGAGAATAGTGAGGGGTACCTCTTGAAGGAGTGTACCTTCTGAAGGAGTGAGAGTTCCCAGAGAACACAATAATACAGAGTAATAAATATGCAATGCTCTCTCTTGACTAACTGGAAATGGCAGTAATTTTAAAAGTTGATTTACTATACACATAATTAGTTTAAATATTATGCAAGTAAGGGTACTATGCAGTCAGATTCCCTCTTGATACGTACAGTATATCTACTTCATTAAGTGCAATGGCATGTTAAATGTCTTTCCTGCATGTGTGTTTGTTCATTGAATTTCCATCTTTTATATTTTAAAAAAGAATACTAATTATGGCATTATCAGACTTGTAAGAGAGCATTTTATTTTACTAGGTGTGATTTTTATAAAAAAATACTGGACAAAGAAATTGCATTAATGTGATGTAGTTATGGCATTTTCAGATTCTGTTCTAAGATTATAATATATTATCTGCAGAAGTGAGATTAGCTTTATATAAAAAACCTAGCATCATAACTTTACATGAGTGTTTGTAATTATGGCTTCTTTATTTCAGGTCATTACCAGAAGATCCTACACAATTAATTGGTACTCTTCATGTAACTGATGCCTGTGGGGTAGTTAGCCTTTTGTATGGTATTCTTCTGCATCAAGGGGGCAGATCATCTCTGCCTCAGGCACCTCCAAAACTCTCACAAACTACACATGCCATTACTGTTGCAGCTACCACATTACTGCACAACCTCGCTTCCCTGGATCTCGCCATGTTTCAGGTAATAGGAAACCCATTCTCCATTTTTCCATTCCTTTTCTGAACATGTGACTCTCGGTTGCTCCTTTAAGTAATATTTCACTTTCCATGGACATTGAGAACTCCAGTCTGTATCGGTGCAACTTTCCATCTCCTAATATGTTGTGGATCTTTTCTAAAGGAGTAAGGGAGTCACTGGAGAAGTCTCAGTTCCATTCTAAATGACTGTCAAAAGGTACATTTATTCTTACTGCAAAAATATCCTTCCAGCCATTATTGATATAAAATAGACTGCCAAGTATTGCTGTTATTCCTAACAACCATTAATGAGTTTGTCACTTGGCTGCTGCTGTTCCCAGTTCCCAGGTGGCAGCACCAGTTGTGTAAACAGTCCACTGGGGAAATTCACGTCTGCCTACCTTTTGTCTACTTTTTGTTGGTTCCAGAAATCAATGTTGCTCACGGCTAGTCTCTGTCCCTGTCCGGGCCTCCTGAGTGTTGGTCTGGTCAACCAGGCTGTTTGATACTGCTGCTGACATATGAATCACAGCACTGTTGATCAGGTATCCTTTGGAAGTGTCGGTTTCTTTTTTGAGCAGAGAGAGGGACGTTGGGTAGTTACATATGAGATACCGCTACATACAAAATAGTAATGGGAATCGACAGAATTGACAAAGAAGCATTCTTGAGACCTGGAACTTCAAGAACAAGAAGTCATAGATTTAAGCTAATTAAATAAAGCTGCAGAAGAAATAAAAAAATTACTTTCACAAACAGAATGGTAGACAATTGGAACAAGTTAAGTGAAAAGGTGGTGGATGCCAAAACTGTGTCTTTCAAAGCATTATATGACAAAGTCCTGGGAAGATGGGACACCATGAGCGTAGCTCTCATCCTGTAACTACACTAAAGTAATTTTACTTGGGTAATTACTGGAACTCTTTGGTTGTTCGGTGTTGCAGTAGATTAGAAAGAAATAAAGAAATGCATGTGTACATATATTTACCACCTTAGATAAATATCCATGTCTGAAATTATTCTTACATTTCAGTACAAGACTTTAGTAGTATGAAACAAAAACATATCAACCCACGATAGCTTCTTAATATTCTAAAGACATTACATGATTCACAGTTTATTGATACCCTTTACAATTTTCAACAATAATTCAACCCGTTCTCGCAAATTTAATAAGTCAATATTGATTTATTAGTTGCGTGCATAGGTGACATACTAAACATAATAGTTTCCCTTGAAAAGCTTCATAGAAAACACCGACCTTACCTAACCTACTTAGTATGTTAAAATAAGCATCTTATAGCTTCGTAATTACAATTGTTACTTAACCTATTATAGGTATAGGTTAGGTAATAATTGTAATTACGAAGCAATAAGATGCTTATCTTAACATACTAAGTAGGTTAGGTAAGGTCGGTGTTTTCTATGAAGCTTTTCAAGGGAAACTATTATGTTAAGTATGTCACCTATGCACATATTTAATAAGTCAATATTGACTTATTAAATTTGCGAGAACGGGTTGAATAATTTTATAAATGCAATCCTACATGTCTTTGCTATAATTTTGGTATATTGCTGCAGTATGGTTTTTGTGCTGTTATCTAGTTCTTTGCTGTAGTCTTGTACTTTCTTAAAGTTTCTGGAATATTTTATTAACTTGTGGAGGTCACCTTGATGGCAGCTGGGTATAAAAGGAGTCGTCACATGGAAGCAATTAAACTTTCAGTTAAATTATACCAAGTGTAGCTGAAATGTTTGTATATATTTAGAGCCAGCTGTGTAAGATATACATCGTGATGACAATATTTTCAATGTGTTTGTGTTGCAGGGTGTGCTGGGGAGTGAAGGCATTTCCTTGGAGTTTCGTCATATTGCCAGTTATCTCCTCTGGTACTGTTCACACTGGCCTTGTGAGGATATTCTCCACAACATTATTCCTCTTGTTGGATTCTTTGCTGTAAACAATAGAGAAAATCAGGTTTGTTGGTTATTTAGTAGTACTGTATTTGCAATGTGTTTTACCATAGTTAAAAATAAATATTTTTATATCCTGTGTGACGGACCCCTGGAGATAGGTACTGAAATAAACATATTTATTCATTTACTGCTGTAGTTTGTAATAATTAATGTATTGTTTATATAAATCAGTCTATATATTTTAAAAAATTTTGAGTCTATGGTGTTTTACCATAGTGAAAAATTAAAATTTTGATATCCCGTGCAATGGATGTCCGGAGATGTGTACTGAAATACTGTATACATATTTCTTCATTTACAGCTGTAGTTTGTAATAATTGATGCATTGTTTATATAAATCAGTCTTTATATTCTAAAAATTTTTGTTTATCTTTATCAGCTTACGAAATGACTCTGGTTTTCTTTAGGATAATCTTGAATCCATATTCATTTAACATTAATTTGTACATGTAGAATTAGATGTTAGCCATCAGTACTGCTTACTCAAGGTGATCAAAGACAAGAATATAAAGGAAGAAATTAGGTGCACTGAGGTGGGAAAAATTAAGGGATTACATTTTGTAACAATTTCCCAAGAAGTTGTATGAGAACCTAAGTAGCTTTGCTGACTGTAAGGAAGATATTAAGGATTTCTGAAACCTATTATAGGCAGTATTAGCAGTGTTGTTGGAATCAACCACACAAGTGTGTGTGTGGATGTGTAAAGCAGTATATACTGTATTATGGACATTTAAACATGATACACAAAGGTTTGAACTTAATGCTAGAATACAGGGAATAAGCAAGTTAATATAACAACGTAGTTAATAAAACAAGAATAGTTTAGTGTTGCAGTAAGATGTAGAATTAACACTTCTACGTAAGAATGTAATAATTAAGAAAGCTGCAGAAGACCTATACAAGGAAGCTCCCGTTTACATCCTTACAAACGTGTTCATATTATGTTTACCCTCCACTCGAAACAATCAGTCAATCAATCATACATTTATTGTTACTTGGTAATTTATCCCATAAATCGACAACTCTGTTTCCAAACCAATATTTACCCAGGTTTTTCTAGATATAAGTTTAGCCACTTTATATCAGCTATTTTGAGTAATGTTTCCAAACCAATATTTACCCAGTTTTTTTAGATATAAGTTTAGCCACTTTATATCAGCTATTTCGAGTAATATTTTGTGTTGATAAATTTATAATCTTATTTATACCCCCTTTGTTATGTCCTTTCATCCATTTATTAACTTAATCATATCACCCCTTGCTCCTCATCTTTCTAGATCATGTTAGATAAGCTTTTGGAGGGGGCTTCAGTGACCCCCTTTTCCAAAGTCCACTCAAGCTGACTCGAGTTTGGCTATGGAGAAAGTTATTTAATTGTTGCAAAAAAAAAAGTAGAAAAATAATGTTCAGCTTGGCAGCACGAAATGATATTTGGCTGGTGTTGCGGGTATATTTTACGATAATGCTTGCTTGCAGATGGTGATACAGAGCGGTGAAGTACCAAGTGTGTTGCAGCAGTTGTGCAATCTTCCATGGCAGTACTTTAGTGAGCCCAACCTCACAGCTGTGCTCTTCCCTACTCTATTAGCCTGCTGCCTTCATAATCATGATAACATGATTATTCTCCAACAGGAGATGAGCTTCCAGGTAATTAATTACTTAAATTGGGACAGTATCACGAGTTTATATTTGAATATCTATTGTTTACCGCTTGAGATTCAAAGTAAACAAAGGCTCTCCTTGGTTTGTCATAAAACATTCCCAGTAGGTTGGCTGCTGAATATATATGTAAATATAGTATCGGTGTTAACTATCATTTTTGTGACCTTCTTTCAGGTTCTAGAGGACTTCCTACATAATAATCAAGCTTCGGATAAGCCTCTTATCCACATACTTGAGAGAACTCATGTTCAGGGCTGAGATTGCTCACCACGGCAATGTTACAGTGTTGCCACACCATCTGCCTTCTTATCTGTTGTAACTGTAACTTACTTCTTAATTACTTTATGTCTCGCCATTAGTGTGTAATGCTGGGTGTGTTGATTATCATGATATATTGTTTTCATACTTGGTATTACATTGTATTGTAATAGAATCTCAGACAACAACACGTATGCATTATGTTCTAAGATATTACACTTACAGATTATTCTGTACTAAATATAACCTTGAGCATTAACATTTCAATTAAATTAAATGAAGTTATCAGTGTACTGTAGATGAGATTACTGTTATGTTCTTTAATAAGTTTTGTACTAAATAGTTATGTAGCAAGTCAATTTTATATCAGATTAGCAAAACTGCAACTGTAAGCAGCTTATTGGTTAATACGTGTTTTGTTTCGGTGACTTAATTAGTGCACATTACTCTCTGTTTAAACAATTATCATAACATTTATTTAAGCATTTAAATATTTTCAAATGACACATACTGCTGAGATTATGAAATAATTTTTATTAACCTAATGAAAGAAGATCTTCATTATTTGGTCAAGTGACTACTTGAGGTGTTTTGTTTTCATAATAAGCAGTGACAAAAATGGTAATGTGTATACTCTTAGTTTGACTTCACTCAGGATGTTTACAACTGTTAGATTGTACCGTAGTGCCATCTTACACCATCTTACACATTTTTCAGCTGCGTAATGTAAGTCATACAAGGTTAGTTGTCATAAAAATGTGATGCAGCATTCTTTAACATGGTAATACACAATATATGAAGACCCTGTCATGTATGTCTCAATTAAGAAAGGCTTAAGACGTTCTGAGCATTCACATCATAGCTACAAATACTTTGTAACATACGCTGTGTACACTTGAGTAAATGTGTGGTAGTTTACTGCTGTAGGAAGGTGTTTTGTAACGTGATCGTCTTTATCTACATGTGTGGAGGTTTATAAACAAAGAAAATGACACTACATATAGTTGTATAATATCCAAATTTAAAGCAAAAGATATTTAACTAGATTAATGTGATTGTTAAGTTTAATCTATTATATATATATATATAAGTATGCGTGTGCTTACTAACCTAGTTGTGCTTGCGAGGGTTGAGCTTTGGCTCTTTGGCCCCGCTTCTCGACTGTCAATCAACTGGTGTATGGATTCCGGAGCCTATTGGGCTCTATCATATTTACATTTGAAACTGTGTATGGAGTCTGCCTCCACCACATTACTGCCTAATGCATTCCATCTGTTAACTACTCTGACACTGAAAAAATTCTTTCTAAGGTCTTTGTGGCTCATCTGGGTACTAAGTTTCCACGTGTGTCTCCTTGTTCATGTTCCACCCGTGCTAAATAGTTTGTCTTTGTCCACCCTGTCAATTCCTCTGAAAATTTTGTAGGTGGTTATCATGTCTCCCCCTTATTCTTCTGTCTTCCAGCGATGTGAGGTTTAGCTTCCATAGGCTTTCCTCGTAGCTCATTCCTCTCAGTTCTGGGACTAGTTTGGTGGTGTATGTATATATATATATATGTGTGTGTGTGTGTGTCTCTCTCTGTTTGGTGTAAATTTGTGTGTCATTGCCTAATAGCCAGAACTGCACTACTTTGTCTAGTATGTAAGGTCCAATTTGCCAAACAGACTGAATTATTTTTGTTATTTTCAAATATATCTTTCCAAATTGGTTCTTTTCTAACAATCTATTTTATTAGAAACATGAATTACTGTCTTAGTTATGTTACAATGTTAGGTTTGGGGAGGGTACGTTAGCTTAGATTTGATCAAATTTGTTAGTTTTGACTCAAATAAAATAAAATGGCAATCATATATAATACAATACACCCTGTGTATATATATATAATACAAAAGAACATTATGTTCTTTCTTGTGTGAGAGAAACACTTGTCTGAAACACACATTAGAAAGAACTTTTTCAGTGACAGAGTAGTTAACAAATGGTATGTATTAAGATATGATGTGGTGGAGGCAGACTTCATACACAGTTTCAAATGTAGATATGAATAGATATGCCCAATAGACTCGGGAATCTATACGCCAACACGCACGCACATACACACAAAATGTTTTGTTATTTTGTTTGAGGGTGAGCATGTACCACAATGTTGGGATGGGGAGTTACATACCATATTATGAATAGATATCTGAAATTTCATAAGAGGCAGTTATAAAAATGTGTGATAGATTGGATGCGAAATGAGCATCCACGCCGTGAGTGTGGATATAACCAAAGACAATGAAGTGAAAGAATGGTTACAGTTTCCTAGCACCAATATTAACTATACAAATACTGTATATATAGTTGTGGGAGAAACAAAGTTAAGCTTGCACCTCTCTGTCACTTTGTACTCTTCTTGAAAATACTTTAAACGTGTTCAGACATTAGTTTGATCAAAGCCTGATCTTTAACATTTAATGTAAGAAATGAGATCATAAGAAAAAGTTAACTTAATTTTAACTTGTTTATAACTTGACTTTTCTGAGGGGGAGCCCCTTGTGCCTCCCTGGAGCCACTGTACTGATATAGTGCCAAAGTACTAGGTGCCATCAGTCGTTTTTTCAGCCTACCGGGGACCACAAGCCAGAACCTGGCCCCCTCAGAGAGGTGCAGGGAGCAGTGGCACTAAGATAAAATGGTCTATGACATTTAATCGTGATCTCCACCACCAAAGAAGCTCCCCAAAAAATCAGTGAACCAAAACAGACCACTGCTGGTGATAAGGATAACTGCAGCCTCAGAACTGCCAAAAGAACTCCCCCAGCAATGTAAACAATAACAAAAATTAATGAAACTAGGGCTAGCTCATTCTCATCACATCTCCCCCTCATTTGAGGAGAGGAGGGAGGCAGCCAGCAGCTCCACACTCAGTGTTTGGTGGTGATAGACAGTGTGAGGTGCCCTCATGTCGTCGCTCTGGCCCTGGTGTCCTGCTTTTCAGGTGAGAGGGGGGTTTTGCCTTTGTGGCCGTTCCTGTGCACTTTGGTGCAATGTGAGCCAGATGTTAGTGCTTGCAGCTGCATGTGCTCAGAGTTATCTTCCCTGGGTGCTCCTTTAGTGCTTCCCTTGGAGTGTTCGGGATTTACTTTCTTAGGGGGATCTCCTCACTTGTGGTGGCCCTCGTCCAGGGTGAGTCAGTTGTCATTGGCTTTCTTTCCTTGGGTTGATTTTGGCTGACAAGGGGGTACACTGGTTACTTGCAAGCCACAATTACAGTGCACTGAGGTCAGCCTTCACAGCCGCAGGAGACAGGTTGTGTTGGCCAGGTAAATGCAGTGATAGCCATGTTTATTGGGGCCTGGGGCTGAAGTCCATCTGACACCATATTATGTGTCCTCCTGTGTGGACATGTGGAGCTATTGGAATCAAATTTGGAATATTAGTATTCATCAACTTAGGATATAGATCTTTGTTTAACATTGACTGCATTGCATTAGATGATCAACACCGAACAATCACCACACTTTGATGGCTAAAGATCTGTTGCACCTAATTTTAACTATAATCTTGAAGGTTTTCTACTTTGTAATAAAATTTATTAAACTGTGTTCATAATTTTGTCTAAATACAATGCTTATTACATTGTTCATACATTCCATGTTATGCAGCTGTGACTTATTCTATAATTCTATAAATTTTCTTGTATTTTTTTCATGCTTCTATATTTGTATGAAGTCCAAATACCTCTTACTTTGTCAAAACTAAATGTCAGATGATTAAAGGCATGAATCAATTCATAATGAATTTTGTGGCATTTCATAATTCATAATGATCAATTTTGTGGCATTTCATAATTTATAATGATAAATTTTGTGGCATTTGATCAATTGATAATGAATTTATTGTGGCATTTTGTAACCCTTAAAACAAACATGTCACATAGTTGTAACACTCTCTTTAATTACAGCATTGTGTACCGTGGCTAAATTACAGTGTGCCAGATACACCTGTTAAAGTTAATGCATTTATTTCTTTTTATATTTTAAATTACTGTGGTAATTGAAAGGTAAGGTAATTATCAGGAGAAAGCAGTAAGCCATACTACTAAATAACACGTGGAAGGGATGATGATGATAAGAGTTTAGGATAAGATGGGGGAAAGGAATTGTGCTCTCATGGGGCTGTGATATACTTGTGGTTACATTAAGTGTTCCTTACCACTCTACAGGGCTCCTGGGCTGCTAATATAATAAATTAAAGCTTAACAATTAGACAGCTCACCAAGCAGGGGGCATGTAGGCCTGGCCCCCAGGAAGATTGTTCCTATCAAATGTTCTGTTACCAAGAGTAAATCACATTCCCCGACACTGGGCACGATGAAATCTGAGTAAGTTTACAGGTTTATTAATCACAGTTCTTCCCCTCATATCAAATCCCCTTGCACTGCCTGTTGACATTTACTTTATGCTTAGTAATCCCCCTGGGACAGGAATAAAGGTTCACAAACAAAATATTTTAGGCAGGCCTAAAACCTCATGAAGGAGGTACACTTAGAATATTCCTTAACCCCACAGTACATAAGCAAATCCTCTCCATCTTTACTTCCACAAAACACAATAACAGTGAGGCAAGACTAGAGTTGCACACAATAATAACAGTTATTTAATGAAACCAGTGGCCAGTACATAAGTGAAAATATGGACTTACCTGGTGTAACAATCCCGAAAAGTCAACAGAACAAATCAGTCCTACACCAGCCTCGGCTACACATTGAAAATGGCATCCTCATGCTGCCTCGACCAGCCCAATTTCATACAATAATGTGTCTTATTTGTAATCATACAACCACCACCAATCTCTTTAAAACACACAATATATGATATAACCTGGCTGCCTCTTAATTAACTAATTTACTCACTAATGTTTCTTAAAACTAGCCAGGAGCTTACATGGCTATCACAATCAGTCATGTATCTGGCAGCATTGTAGGTTCAGCCACTCCGAGACCTAATATATACACTTTATTTGCAATATATCGTGTTCCACTATCCAAGACCACCCATGGTCATAAGTTCCAAACCACTTTTTTAGTAATTAAAAGTTAAACAATATAATGCAGTACTATACTTATCAACTAACGAATTATTACATAATTCAAGGAGTTTTCATGTGCTGTCTTGTAGTTATGACCAGGTTGTAAGTGATATGTAGTGTAAAATATTATTTGTGCTAAGCAAGTGGTATAGATATGACAATTTTGTGCATGAGAAAATAGTATTTGTAGAGAAGCACCAGGATAAGGGTGGGCTTTTGTTTGTAGATAATGTTTTACTCGCAATTGCTCATTATGTTTAACTAATACAGTGCTAGAGCTTATGACTGAAGAAAGAGAAGAGGGCTTATGTCAGGGATGTAATGGTTTAGTTAGCTCAGATGTACGGGAGTGCGAGTGTGTGTGTATATTTGTTACATGTACTCCCACACATCTCTGATCTCACTGCACTCTCACCCCTGACTTAATCCTCCTTTGCTTACACCTTTTTCCTTTATAGGTGTTAGTCCTGTATATAAGTTAGATTTGTAAATGCCCTTAAAGGTGGAACATTGTATACAAATAGTCTCATCTCATCTTATTTTTTTCTGTATCATTGTCAACACTTTATGCTCTCTCCAACTAAAATAATTAAGCTGATTAAAAAGAGGAGTACAGTATTCATATTGAGGCTAGTAATTTTCATCCAGAAATATTACTAACAATTACATACGCACGTCTGTTGTGAGGTTTCACAGACATCATTCTGAATTTGAGAGATGGGGGTCAAACCTAAATTAACACTTGCATTTTGATGGTGAAATGTACATTATCCACTCATGAAACTTAATTAAATATAAATTTATTAACATTGTGTTTATCAAATTGTTCCAATGGCAGCTGCATAAGTTAGCAGAGCTTTGTAAGCCATGCAATGTATTTACATTTACAAGTGTTCAGAAGGACTATTTGTGAATGTTGATGCCTGTATATTCTCTTTATGTTTGTGGTGATTTCTTTGATAATCTAGTGATATTTGGTGCTGCAACTTATAGCTAATATAATATACACCCCATCAT